CAATATGACAAGAGAAGAAAGCCTAAGAGAGAATCCACAGGGGAAGAGGAAGAGGGTGAGGCTAAAATCCACCAGCTGGGAGCGAGATGTGGAGGCAGCAGCTCTCAAACAGATGAGTACAGTGCTGCTGGCTGGAGATGAAGTAGATCAAGCAGAAATAAAAGTGACAGGGCGAGAGTCCGTCTTTGTTTAATAATACCATGGTAAAAAAGGCTTTAGAGGATGAAACATTTTGCACCATTTGCTATAAGCAAATCCCAGGAAAATAGATAAAACTGAAAAAGCAATCGACGTCAAACAGCCAAATAAAAATGGTTAAAAAGTAATCAAGTAACAAGAACAATAAGAAAAGAACACTTACAGAGAGCAAAAGTTAAGGCAACAAACTTGTACATGGCTGCAGATTTTGAGAGTTCTCGGCGATGTCTTAAGAAGTCAGTTGATTGTCGATTGTTGGTATGAGTATGAGTGGAAGTATCAAAATTCTACTCCTTTATACCCTTTCGGTCACGATTGTGATCGCGATTTTTAAATTAAACCATCGAAATGGAACAAGAACTAGTAGCCTTGACAAAAAAGAAAGACCATATTTCATCAGCAGGCGAGCCTCTTGAAAATGTTTTGATTTCAACATTTCTGAGCTCACGATTCTAGGCGATTAATAGCTATTTTGGGGATTTTATGATTATTACGCACGATGAGGTACAGTTTGTTTTCGGACAGTATGGAGTTTATCACGCCAGGAAAAAGACTAGGTCACGATGCCCTACATATTTAGAAACAGTAGTCTTTTTTACAATTGAAATCCTTCAATATTAAGAAAAGGAAAAGATTGTCTTTAATTTGATTGGTCCTCCTTTTGTTTTTATTATTGTCCTTGATGGTGTTGATATTGTTTATTTTGTTTTTAAGTTTTGTTGTTTTTCTTTTTGTTGTTTTTCTTTTTGGTGGTGTTACTGTTTTGTTGTTGTTGTTGATGATGGATATTTTTGTTGATGTTTTTTTGTGGTGTTGTTATTGTTGTTATCATTGCTTTTTACGCTTTAATTGTTGTTGCTATTATTGTTGTCGCTATTGTTATTGTTCCTGCCGTTCTTGATGTTCTGTTGTTATTGTTGTTCTGGTTGTTGTTGTTGTTGTTGCTGCTGCTGATGATGCTGTTATTGTTGTTCATGTCGACGTCGTTCTTGTTTCTGTTGTTGTTATTGTTTTTGTTGTTGTTGTTGTTTTAGTTGTTGTTATTTCTGCTGCTGTTTCTTGTGCTGTTGTGGTAATTAACACTTTTTAAATAATCTGTCTATTATACAGACCCCCTTTCGTATTCGTTTTCTTCATTTCTTTGCTTCTGCTACTTTGAATTTTAAAAATGTTGCTTCTTTTATTGATCTTTTTTTCTGTCAACTTAGGTGTGTCTGCGAGGCCTACTTCCTGAACTCGACGTTTTCGAACCAGATTTGTTTGAGATGTGTGCACTTTTTCCTATAATCACGACACCGTCCTATCTTAGATGGAGAATAAGTCATAGTTTTTGTCTTATAAAGTTCTGTGGTGATTCATGTCTCTTTGGTATAGAACTCTGTACTTTGGTTGCGCCAAAACAAAAATAAATTTGTTTCGTAATAAATCTAAGATCTCGCCTAGAATCGTGAGTTCAGAAATATTGAGAACAACACATTTTCGAGTGGATCGCGTGTTATTAAAATATGTTCTTTCTTTTTTGTCAAGGCTACTCGTTCTTGTTTCATTTTTTTGGGTTGTTTATTGCAAAAGCACGATCACAATCGTGATCGAAAGGGTATAAAATAGTGCAATTTTGATTATTCAATTATACCAAACAATCAACAACCAACTGACTTCTTCAGACGTCGCTGAGAACTTCCAAAATCTGCAGCCATGTACAAGTTTGTTGCCTTAGCTTTTGCTCTATGTAAGTGTTCTTTTCTTGTTATTCTTGTTGTTTGATGTTTATTATTTTTTGGCTGTTTGACGTCGATTATTCTTTCAAATTAATCTACTTTCCTGAGAGTTGCATATTGCGAATCGTGTAATACGTTTCAGCCTCAATTATCTTTACCACCTTAGTATTGTGTCTAGTCAACAAGGAGGGGCTCTCACCCTGTCACTTTTTATTTCTTTTCGATTTTCTTTACTTCCAGCCAGCAGCTGTGCTTCATCTGTTTGAGAGCTGCTGCCTCCACATCTCGCTCCCACCTGGTGGATCTCAGCCTCACTCTCTTCCTCCTCCTCTATGGATTCTATCTGAGGCTTTCTCTAGTCATATTGTGGGCTTGCTTTCCCAAAGCGTGTGTCCGATCCACTGCCATCTTCTTGTCTTGATCTCACTGTTAACTGGGTGTGTTTGTTCCAGTCTGGCAATCATTAATGACGGACTGTTGGTTTTTTTACTGTCCACTTTGATAGTTTCGATGTATACGAACCATACAATAATACACTTTAAACACTGGAGAAGTTAGTCACTTTCTTGGGAAAATATCTTTTCATTTTTCTGCAAATTGTACCTATATAAATGCATGTTTTATTTACAAACAACATTACATAACTCCCTGTTGCTTTGTAAATGTTGCAGTTTTCGGCATTGTATTTATTTTTAGTTTGTTTTTGTATTTTTATACGACTGCATAGATAATTCTCTTGTTTTTTATTGGTGGTTTTCAACGTGTCATCGTTTATTATGATATATGCATTTACATATAGATATATGAGAATTCCTGTTGTCCTGTAGGCGTGGCCGCTGTGTACAGCGAGATATCTTGTAGCACCAGCCACGACTGTCACCCAACACCGTGCCACGACGCACACGTCGCCTCATGCAACAGCCACACCAAAGTTTGTGAATGCAACGTCGGCAACAACCACCAAGACAACCATAGCAACAACAACAACCACAACAACCACAACAACCACAACAACCACAGTAAGTGCCGGGTAGCCCTAAGCCCTTGTTTAGCTACATCTAGCAGCTTATGTCCTTTCCGTTCTGTCTTAACTCACAGCTCTTCTTCTTCTTGCCTTATGTTTTAATGAAATTTTTTTTAAAACATTATCTCCCTAAGTTAACAATTCGCCACTAGTCGCACTTTCAAGTTAGGAGTGTGTGTCAGTAATATTGGGAGATACTGT